GTCCGAAGCCTTTTCAAGGGGTTATAATAGTCTGGTATTAAATGGGTCTATTGAGGCTTTTAATATGGGCAGATCAGTTTGCATAACTCACCTAGCTTTTGCGGATGATCTTATGGTTTTTCTCAATGGGTCTCACACATCTATACGTAAGTAAAAAAATTTCTTACAAGCTTATCAACATGCCACTGGGCAGCTTGTCAACAAGGAGAAAAGTTGTTTTGTGGTTGGTAAACATACAACAGCTGGTAGAATTGCTCATATGGAGCATGAATTGGGCATGAGAGTATCTAAGTTGCCCTTTAAATACTTGGGGGTGCAGATTCATAAGGGTGTCACAAGGTTGACACATTGTAAGGATCTTTTACAGACTATTGATTCTAAGCTTACATCCTGGAAAAATAGATTGTTATCTCGGGGGGAGACTGATTCTCATAAAACATGTAATTAGTTCTTTACCTCTACATGTGCTAGCTGTGACTGGCATTCCCTTAGCAGTTATACACATGATCAATGCTAAGATTTCAAATTTTTTCTGGGGTTATAAGGAAAATGTGCCTAAACATCACTGGGTTTCATATAAGATGTGTAGACCTGCTGAAGTTGGGGGGTGGCATAAGGGCCCTAGCAGATGTTCAAAAGATTTTGGGCTTTAAGCTTTGGTGGGAATTTAAAACAGGTGACTCGGTTTGGGCTGGTCTCATGAAAAGCAAGTACGGCAGAAGGGTGCTTGGCGAGGTGAAGCCCCCTGGACTCTCCAATATGGAGGAGAATCTGCCTGGTAAATAGGGAAGTGGAGGCCATGGTAGATAGAGATTCCACTTCTATCAAGTGGAAGCACACAACTGATGGGGTCTTCAGCACAAAGTCAGCATACAATGCACTCTGGCTGGGGAGGGGCATGGCATTAACATACTGATAGAACCTTGATATAATTCAACTAATAACAGTAGGAAATCACGAAGAATTGATCAAGAAGCTGTATTGAAGTAGGGTAATGTTTTACAGAAGGGTTCTGGCAATTTCGAGAGTGCCAGTCTCTCCAAAAGTCTATTCCCAATTTTACTAACTGCCTACTCATTTGCCTAGCCTCCCTTTCTATTTATAGTACAAGCCCCTTATTATTATGTAATTAATAGGCCCACTTATTATCTCTAATACTAGGCCCATTCCTATCACTACTCCCCCCCTAAACAACCACCTTGTCCTCAAGGTGGGTGATAGGAATCAGCCATGATCTTCCACTTCCACTTCATTCTGGCACCTCTCCCTTCCCAATACATCCCAGATTGCTTGGTCATGACCTTCATTACTTGACCTTTCAACGTCACTTCTTTCACAGCAAACAGGAGCAGAAACTGGAGATGAAAACTCCCTGGAAGTATGTTGTCAAAGATAATACTTCTTTCATCCCTTTCTGCAGTGTTCCTATCCCCCTCACCACTTTGACCAAGCTTCTGACATGAAATTGAATGAGGTCCTACATGTTTTACATGATAACCAAACTGCGAAGCCTCTTCATTGTAATCACTATGATCATATAAAGGTTCTGCCATATAAAATCCAGCTGCCCTTGTAATGACTTCAGCTGCTGATTTATGAAAATTCAGCTCATGCACTCCTGGAGATTCCACATATAGGTGTTGAGATTCCTCTTTTATTTCAAATTTCACAAGATACCCATCTGTTGCTGCAAGTACAGTATCCACTTTATGATTATAAACTATTTTATCCCTGTACCCTTTTTGCACAATTGGTAATCCTGTAAGATAGTTGGTCCCAGCCTTGATATTGGCAAATTTTTTATCCCAGTCCCACTATCATCCTCAAAAAGTATTCCTAAAGAATTTCTGACTAAATCCTTTTCTTTTCCAGGAATGACTTTTGTAAACACGAATTCACTGCACTCATTTGTCAAATGATTTATTTTCCTATTATCCTTGTTTTCTTCTTCTATTAGTACGAGAGTCAGAGTAGCAAAAGAACTTGGAACCTTTCCTACCAGTCCAACAAGCACAGGAATAGAAACCTGAACAATAGATGATTGTTCCTCACGTTCGTCGTCCTGGTTCAGTTTCTTGATTACAGATTCCGCTCCATCGGCCACTGAAATTTGCTCCTCTAGTTCTTCTTCCGGATTTGTTTCCTTGATTACAAATTCTGCTGGCTTCAGCTTGGAAGAGAAGATGTGTGCAGGGTTAAAAATTTCTTCTCTGGATAGCATCACATTCTGACTCGAGTGAAGAGCAGACGGGAACGCCTGTGAACTGAGATGAGCTGCTGCAGATGACTGCAAACTGAAAGAAGTTCTTGGTGAGGATTCATGGCTTTCTGTCTTCCGCCTACTTGTAGGTTGGAAACGCCGCGTTATGGCTTCCTTCATAGCCTCCCAACTTTTCTCTCTCGTTTGAGTCTCCCACCATTGAAACCAGTCAAACGCCCTATCTTCCATAGCTTCTGCTGCGACTTCTACCTTATCTTTTTCTGTAGTAGTATTGAGAGTGAAATATCTTTCCATCCTATCCATCCATCCATAAGCGTCACCACCATTGAAAAAGGGTAATTCCATCTGTCCATAAGCGTCAAAGCATCCCAATACATCTCCCTTCTGTCTGCCATTCAAAGTGCTATGCGAATTGTGCGAAGAATCTTGTGCGCTTAGAGAGGATCCTTGTGAACTGGAATGATACGTGAGTGTCGAATTGTGCGACCTATGAGAAGCTGTACGCGAAGGGGCCGGTGAATTTCGGACATCTGCTCGTGGCTAAGAATAGCCCTGCGCAAGCGACGAGGTCTGCGAATTAAGCCAAACTGTTCGCGATGGCGAGCTGGAAGAAAAAACTTGCGATGGCGAAGATTTAAAACTGGAAGTGTGAGGAGCGGAGGGTGAAGACATCTTCGACGTTGTAGTAACCACTCGCGTATGAAGCTGTTGAGGAGATCGCGACTTTCCTCTGTTCTGGAATTGTTCCGCCATCGCATCCATCTTCACTGCGATAATCTCCAGCATCGATTTCATATCCTGATGATTTCGCTCCAGCGATTCCAATCTATGATCCATCTTGCCTATCGTTCTGACCATTCACAGTTCGAACGATGAGAGTTTCTTCAATCCACGTAACTTTTCCGATCACAGTCCCGTTCACCAGAAACGTAATGCTCTGATACCAATGATAGAACCTTGATATAATTCAACTAATAACAGTAGGAAATCACGAAGAATTGATCAAGAAGCTGTTTTGAAGTAGGGTAATGTTTTACAGAAGGGTTCTGGCAATTTCGAGAGTGCCAGTCTCTCCAAAAGTCTATTCCCAATTTTACTAACTGCCTACTCATTTGCCTAGCCTCCCTTTCTATTTATAGTACAAGCCCCTTATTATTATGTAATTAATAGGCCCACTTATTATCTCTAATACTAGGCCCATTCCTATCACATACTCTAACATTTGGCATAAAAAACAAGTTCCAAAAATTAAAGTTTTTTTTATGGAGGCTTTGGCATCGAGGGCTTCCCTTCCCGGAGCAATTGTGTTCCTTTTCAGATGCATATCCTTCTTGCTGCCCGATTTGTAGATCAGCCTCAGCTACTCTGGATCATGTGTTTCTTCAGTGTCATTTAGCCCGAGACATTTGGATATTCTTTGAAAATGCGCTGCAGCTTAAGGGAAGATTTGTTACGCAGATAAAACTTCAAATTAAAAAATGGTGGAGTGCTGGAAGAGGAAAGTCGCTAGAGGCTACTTACACAGCGGTTCTGCCAGGAGCGATTGTATGGCATGTTTGGAAGGGGTATTGAGAGGCAATTTGGAAGGATATTTCCCGGACAAGGATACAATCATACACCAAATTAGTAAGTTTATGGTTAATTGGTGTTATGCAAACTCAAATCTAAAAGGAGGGCAGAGATTGAAAGAAGCTGGTTTATTACCTTTTGCTTTCAATCTAAGGAAGCCGCAGGTTTGGAAGTGGTAGAAGCTGGCACCAGGACATGTTAAGCTTAACTGGGCTGTCTATAGGCAAAGCGGCAAGTCGTCTGCAGGTTTTTTGCGGAGAGATCATAGGGGGCAGCGGTTGCGGCGGAAGGCTTTCCTTTGAGTGGTTCAACGGGAAGGGAAGAGGAAGAAGAAGCTGTTTTCAGACGGGCTCTGGAGTGGGTGGAGACCTTTCATATGCCGCAGGTGGAGGTTGATTTTTGTTGTGAGCAGATAATGGGGCGGTGTCTTAAATATGCTACTGGGCTGGGGTGGATGGTCGGGTTTGGGCTCATTCCGGTACAGGTCAACAAAGCAGCAAGTGAGGTTGCCAAATTGGGCAGTCAGGCTGGATTTAAATGGCGTGTTGGTTCTAATATGCCTAAGGTTTTTCAGGGGGTTGTTGCGTTGGACTCGCAGTCTACTGCATATATTGTTTGGTTTTTTTTTTTCAGTTTGATGTAAAGGCTTTGGCCTTTCTTGAGAGGTTTTGATTCGGTCCCTCTCCATGTGTTTTTCTGTGTTGTATTTATAAAACTTGGCAAATGTTCCCCGGCTTTTGCCCCACCGATTTTGGTGGGTTACCTACCGGGTTTTTAAAATGTGTGTGTGTGTGTGTGTGTCTATATATATATATATATATATATATATATATATGTTGTAGGATCTTACAATCCGAGTTACATTCCTACATATTACGATCTTTAGGGCTACTTCCAAACCTATGTAGGATCTCGAGTTTGACTACCTTGTTAAGGTGTGGCTACCATGTGAAGGTGTATATTGTCAATACATTTAGCAGGAATTTATAGTGTTTGTTAGTCTTATACAATAAATAAAAAGTTTACTGCTCTCTACACCAACTAGTTGAAATCTTGAAATTTCCTTTCAATTGGGAAGGACCTTTTACTTTTTGAAATCTACATCTTAAGATAGTATGCATATTTGAATTACTTCGCTCGGTGCTCACTCCATTTCACAGCTTTTTTGGATTTGAAAACTCAGTTGTGTCATTCCTGTGAATTTCTTCAGTGTGAAAAATCATGGAATTTATGCGAAATGGATTGCTTCTGCCTCATGCCAATGGTATTATTTTTTAATAACCCTTTTTATTGTTTTATTATTCTTTGATGCTGTAGTGACTTGCAGCCCTGTTTTTCAGGTGAAACTGATTATTATATTGATTCTTGGAAGGATCAGTTGCTCAGCAACAAAGGCAGAGAATAGAACTCCTTGCTCGAAGAAATATGTTCTTGATACTTGAGAGTGAGGCCAAGTAGTTCATGTTGGCATTTAAAGGGATAATAAGAACAATTAGGTAAAGATGTTTTTCTTCTCTCCCTTGGCATTAGCTGTTGTAGTCACTTGTTGTCCACATGAGCCTAACCTCGGATGATGGATTTTGTTTTAGGTTGTTGCGTGCAAATTAGAAAGATGAAACACAAGTACACAAGAAGAGAGGCGAGGACAACGCCACATCTATTTGTATTTTTTTGTATGTTCCAAATAGCTTTGCTGGGTAAACTGAGGCCTAGATGTGGTCAAGGGTGGTCAGCCTTGTCAGGGATTTTAAAAGCGTGTCATGTCAAGACTTAAATTGTATCCATTTGGTAAAGCTTATGACTATTGGAATGATAGATTATGTATGGGATCGTGTCATGTCAAGACTTAAATTGTATCCATTTGGTAAAGCTTATGACTATTGGAATGATAGATTATGTATGGGATCTTATCGTCTTACTTCATTCATGTGGCTTAGGCAAGGATTATGCATGGACCTGGTGTGGAACCAGGTCCATGCGACCATGCCCGGTCCGAAACTAGAGTGTTCCCAGATCGGGTGTTGGTCAATTTTTTTTCAAACTTTCTAGCCGTGGGGACCAAACTGGACCCGAGATTGGTCGGTCTCGGTCCTGAAAAATCGCACCCGTGACCGGGTAATGAAGTTAGAGGGGGGAGGCATTGGTCCTGAATTGAAACCAGAAAACATGTCCCAAACATTGATGGGCTCGGTTCTGGCCTGGTCGAGACCGGCGGGCGGCGGACCTAGTCAACCCCTAGTCGGTTCCAGTTTTAATTATTTTCTAGAAAAAAAGTATTTCTAAATACAATATTAAAATTTGATATTGGAATTGCCATGGCTTGGGCAGTTGGAAATAGGGCTGTCAACGAGCTGAGCTGAGCCCGAACACCCAAAGCTCGAGTTCGGCTCGATAAGGAATTAGTGGTGTTCGGGTTCGAGCTCGAAGCTCGGCGAGCTTTACAAATGAGGCTCGTGTTCGGCTCGACAGACGTTCGATGTTTGATTCGAGCGCTCGATAAGCTTGATAAATATGTTTGAATTTAAAATTTTAGGTGATAGCTCGTTAATAAGCTCGTGCTCGAATGGTTCAACAAGTATTCGATTCTTTAATAATCATATTTAAAATCATAAAATAATACTAATTATATTTACATTTTTAATTATATTTATAATTTTAGAGTGTTTGATAGGTTCGAGTTCGAACCGAGCCGAATACTACTATGTTCGAGCTCGGTTCGATTAATTTTTCGAACTTAAAATTTAGCTCGGGTTCGTGTTCGAAAGCTCGTTAAGCTCGGCTCGTTAGGTTCAAAACTAAGCTCGAACTCGAATAGTTTGATAAAAGCTTGGTTCGTTAACAGCCCTAGTTGGAAATAGGTTTAGACTCGGGTCTTGCCGTTTTTTTTTTTGGTTTCTTGAGACTCGGAACTGGCCTGGGGAAGCTATCGGGTCCGGGCTTTTTTTTGTTTACAAATTAATTCAAGAATTGTTGGATATAAAAAATTTTAAGTATATTTATTTGAAATATGTAGTACAATTGAGAATTGAGAAAAATTAAAAACATGAAATACATTTTTTAATAAATAATAATCAATCGGAATCTTTGCCATGAAATACATAAAATTCGACCTATTTTATTAAATACTTGAATGTAACAAGTGTAATTTAATGAAAAAAGTCTAACTATTTTTTTTTAAAACAAAAATTTAAAGTACTTGGGAGTACAAAAAAGACAAATTACATGTGTAGTTTAATGAATAAATTCGAAGTAAAAAAATCTAACTAATTAACTAATTGTTGTCTAATAAGTGTGACTTTGATTATTTGGAAAACGAGAAATGTAACACTTAATTACTTTTATACTTTAATGATAAATATAACAATGAACTATATAACTAATTTTTGTCTAACAAGTGTGACTTTAATTAATTGGAAAATGAGAAATGTAACAATTAACTACTTTTATACTTTAATGACAAATATAGCAATGAACTAAGATGATAATGATAAATATAACAATTAACAACTTTTATACTTTAATGACAAATATATCAATGAACTAATAGGAAAATGAGAAATGTAATAATTAACTACTTTTTATACTTTAATGAGAAATGTAGCAATTAACAACTTGTGTACTTTAATGACAAATATAGCAATGAGAAATTTATCAATTAACTAATTAAGTAATATTAATAAAAAATGTAGGAATGTGCAAACTAAATTAATGGGAGTGTGAGTGTATAAGTAATAGGATGTTTAATTAAAGTGTAACTAATATATAATATAATATATAATATATTGTTTATAGTATATAATATATAAGTATACTACTATAAGATGAGTAATACACTTATATTTAATACTTTAATATATATATATATATATATATATATATATACACACTTATATTATTTACTTATATTTACATATTATATCTACTTAATATATACTTATATATTTTGAAGTATTAAATATAAGTGTATTACTTTTCTTATAGTAATATAAGATAAGTAATACACTTATATTTAATACTTTAAAATATATAAGTAGATATTTTTTTTTTTACCCCGGAAGGCAAACCACCAAAATCAGTGGGACAAATGCCGGGGGACATTTACCATGTAGATATAATAATTGTATAAATATATGTAGAGAGAATTGGAGAAAATGAAGATGGAGATAATTAAGAGTATTAGAGAATAGAGAGTAGGAAGTGTTGGAGAAGATGTGTAGAAAAATGTTTAGAAAATAGGAGTGTATAGTTTTTTTTTACCCCCACCACTCACCCACCCCACCCCAAACCCCCCTGCCCCCAAGCCCTCCAACGGCTATAGAGCCGTTTGGGAGTGTTCCCAACGGCTAGGAGGAGCCGAGGAGCTATTAAAAAAATTAAAAAATCTGACAGTTGGAGGCCCGGCCGGTTCATTATTTGAGGACCCGGAGCCCGCCCCGAAAAAATGGCGGTTCGGGTATATGCCACCCGGCCCGGAACCATGCCTCAGGTCGGGCCGGTTCAGCCGGTTCAGTACAGTACCGGGCCGGGCCGGTTTTGGTCCGGTTGACCCGGCCCGAGTCCATCCTTAGTTGGAAACAGTCCAATTACTCCCACATTTTGAGTTGTCACAAATTGGGAATTGTTTTCTTGATGGAAACCAAAGTGGGAGGCTCTTGGGTGGTATCGATGATGCGATTGGTTGGAATGAGGCGCGTCTTTGTTCAAGAATGCGTGGGACTAAGTAGGAGTTTGGTAGTCGGCTGGAGAGATGAAGTGGAGGTGGAGATGATAAGCTCTTTAGATGTCTTCTTCGGTTTGAAGATAAGGCTTGGGGTGGGAGGTTCGCTGTGGAGATTGATTGGGAACTGTTCCGGAGCTTGGTGACAGGTTGGTCGGCATTGTGGATGTTGGTTGGTGATTTTAATGATAGTACAGTTTCAGGTAGGGATGTATTGGTACAGGTCGGGCTCGGGACCTGGCGTGCTTCAGGTTTAACAATTTCAGGCCCGGTATCGGCTCGGGTTTGTACTGGTTCCGGTCCAGGCTAGTCGGTCGGGCCTTGGTCCGGACCCGGGTCAGGTCGGGCTTTTTATATATTTTTTATAAATTAATTTGGCAAATGCTAGACAATAAAAATTTAAAGTATATTTATTGGAAATATGAACTACAATTGAGAATAATTTAAAGAATTAAATACATTTCCTAAAAATCAATCAAAATCTTCGCCAGCGTCGGTTGTTGTTTCGTCCATGAAGTGGCGGTTTGGGTCGATGCAAACTTATTGAGTTCTACGTCAGCCTTCAACAAATCGTGGAAGCAAATGAGCGTTTCAAGAGTTTGTGCACTCAATCTCGTTCTATAATCGATTAAGGACATTGCCGGTTGCACTAAATTCTTATTACACGGGTATTGTTGATACCAGCATTGAAGCACTTGGTTCGCCATCTTCGATAAAATCGGAAACATTCTTTCTCTGCCCTTCCATCACTTCAGAACGTCAAATTCATCTCCTTCATACTCAAAATGAAACGTTAGATATACAGAAAACACGTTAATCGAGCTTTGTGCAACAGAGGGAGATGATTTTTTCATAAGATTACCAAATGTAGATTTGAAAAATGATTTTCCTTTAGATGAAGAAGCAGTTGGTTTCGGGTGAGAGGGTGTGTTACCATATTGTGCATGAAACTCATTAAATAATTGATGAATAAAGTTACTAACCTCATTGTATTGCTCTTTAGGATCTATGTGCTTATCTTCGTACATAGGTAATGGACCGAAAAAACAAGTATAATAGTTGTTGGTCCAAAATAGGATGCTCGTAGACTTTTAGGAAAGCTACGTACGACACTCAAACAGGAAATCAAGAAAGCAATACAGAAATGGAAAGTGCTATGGGAAGTTTAGTTGCCAGAAATAGTTTCCCGTTCATTTGAATCGGACTTGCCTTTTATAGGTGATTACAAATGGTAACTGCCGAAGATACTAATGGCTAATTAATTACAACATTAATACAGAATTAAATACATAATTAAAAGCGCATTAATTGCATTGGCTGTTACTGTTCCTGGTTGGTGGCTCGGCCTTGCTGGCGCTTGAGCTCCCTCCTGCTGGACCGGACGACGGGCTCCCCATCGGGCTGGAGGCAGGCCCCCGGCTGGGCTGGAAGGCAGGCTCCTGGCTGGGCTGGAAGGCAGGCTCCTGGCTGGGCCGGAAGGCAGGCTGCTTGCCGGACTTGAAGGCAGGCTCCCTGCTGGCCGGGCTGGAAGGCAGGTCATCTTGGGCTTCCGCTCCTTGATGGGCTTGATCGGTTGGGCTGGCTCAAGCGCTAGGCCGTTGGGATTGGGCTTGCTGGTCCAAGTTCGGGGCATGAACGGATTAGGCTCTGGGCCTAGTCCTATAACCCCATCACGAGTCCCCCATTCCCTTAGTCGAGTAGTAGACTCGGCTAAGAGGGAGTAGTTCAAGTCAGCTGCCAATTTAAAAAATATTCACATACCAGGTAGCCATAATTGTGGATTCTATCAATCCCACAATTTATGGAGATCTCCAAATTTTAAATAAGGCTCCAAATTGATTTCTTTCGGCATCCAAGCATTCCAGCAGTCAGCTTTTTCCCGGACTTCAGAATCCAGGCCGACTTCCAAAAATTCCTGAAATTCATCATTATTATTTTATAATTATTTTCGGACTTTACATTATTTTTCTTTCTTTTTTTTCCTTTCCTTTTCTTTTCTTTCCTTTCTTTCCTTTTCTTTGCTTTCCTTTCTTTTCTTTTTTCCCTTTCTCCTGGAAACTGCGCGTGTCTTCCTCGTGTAGCCCCATCGCCGCAGTTGATGATACGGTTCAGGTTACTCTGCGTAAGGGATGAAGAAAGAGTAACGAGAATACGTATGGATGCAACTCTATAATATAGGGAAGGGAAAGGAAATGTGTTTATTCATCTCAAA